GAGACAGTACATAAGTAAAAATAGAACACAACATTCATTCATCATTCGGGTGGGGATGGATTAGAATCTTTATCCCCAGGCCAGTGTACGAAAAGAATGAATTGTATTTGTGGTTATGTCAAAATATGTATGGAAATGACCAAGCCAGGAAGAGCACTGTGTCCAATGTTTTTAATGTGTATTAAAACTTATTTTAAAAAAGAAACAGTTAACCAGGGGAATGGGTCGCGTTTAGAGCACGGATCTCAAACTCGCGGCATCCCATTGCTGTCGCGTGCTGTTTCGTGGCCTTTCCTCCCTTCGCGGAGCTGGGCTGGGCGTGCCCTGCGTGTGGGCTGCCAGATTGACACTTCTGCTTTAGAAGTTCTGGTTCTCCATCACTGGAGGTTCTCTCGAAGAAACTGGGCAGCCGTTTGTCTGAAATGTTACAGTGTCTCTTGCTCAAGCGGGGGGTTGGACTAGAAGACCTCCAAGGTCCCTTCCAACTCCGGTGGTCTGCATTCTCCTAGAATAAAGCCCAGTTGGAGGGATTCACACAACTCTTCAGGCCCATTCCTAGCTTAGCTGCACCTTCACCCCGTGTCGGAACAGCCACGTGGGGTTGGAAACCCTTCCCTTTGAGAGCAATGTGTCCCCCCGCCAACTCCTTTCCAGGTTCTCCCTCCCCCCAGGCTCCCCCACGCGTTCAAAGGCTGCCGTTCCTGCTTTTGGAAAGTTGGCGCCTGGGGAAGAGGAGCCTCTTTCCGCTCATTCGATGTTTCTCCTCCAGGAGCTCCGTTTGGAAGACTATCAGGCCAACAGGAAAGGCCCCACCAACCCAGTGGTGGGAGCCGGAGCCACGCCGGGCTTGTTTGGGTCGTCAACCGCTACGTCCAGCGCGGCCACAGGACTCTTCGGCTCCTCCACCACCAACACGGGCTTTTCGTACGGGGCAAATAAAACAGCGTTCGGGACGAGTGAGTATCCGTGGACTGGCCTTGCTGTGGCCAAGCTGGTAAAAAAAAACCACTCCCAACTTTAGTGCTGTTGCTGCGGTCTCTGGTCTGAACGGGTTTCCCAAACCTCGGACGCTTTAAGGCTTGTGGGCTTCAACTCCCAGAATGCAGAGTTGGGAAGGCCTTCCCTACGTGAAGTGGGTCCGTCTATCACTGTATTGATCGTGTTGTCATCCCAAACCACCGGATAACTCCAGGCAGAGTTTAAAAAGCAGAGGGGAGAGCAACCCAGGGGCGCTGCCGTTTAAAGCCCCCCCTCACGCCCTCTGGGTGCTTCGAACTCGGAGCCGGTCACAGGAGAGGATTGTAAAAAGAGGCGTCATCTCTGTGTTGCAGGTACCACCGGTTTTGGGACAGGCACCGGGAGTCTCTTTGGTTCGACCCAGCAGACGCCCAGCCTCTTCAGCAAACCTTTTGGTCAGCCCACCACTGCCCAGAACACGGGTTTCTCCTTCACCAACACCAGCACCCTTGGGCAGCCCAACACCAACACCATGGTAAGAGGAGGATGGCGTTCTGGAAGGCCCTTAAGCGTGGTAGGACGGCTTCTCCCTTCAGACACTCCTGTCTGCCACATCTTTTATCGAACTCTTGAAGTTCAGGCCTTCATGTTTGCCCTCAGCCACGGGGTAGGGACCGATAGACGAGAATATTTGTAGCTCATGGTTGGATTTGGGGGCTCCTTGGTGCTCTCTGAGCTGGGTGGTTTTCTTGCAGACGTTTCATGACCCAGCTAATGAACTTCAGTATCAAGGATGTTCCCTAGTTGGGTTATAAAACGTCTTCCAGAAAACCATCAAACTCGGATTGCACCCCACAGTCATTGTCCTTCTTGTCTGCACAATGCCTCTCCCTCCCAGCACTGATGATGTTCCCTTTTTGGGTCATGAAATGTCTGCAAGAACACCACCAAGCTCAGAGAGCACCAGGGACCCCACGGTCCTCTTCCTCCTCCTCCACTCTGCAAACCCCACTCCCTTCTAGCACTGATGATGTTACATAGTTGGGTTATGAAATGTCTGCAAGAAAACCACCAAGCTCAGGGAGCACTGAGGACCCCCAAAATTCAACCCTGAGCCTGTATCATTTGTTTGGGGTGGACTAGAAGACCTCCAAGATCCCTCCCAACTCTGATATTCCATAACTCCTTCTTTAGTTTAGCTTCTGCCCAGGTCAGCGGAATCAGCTCAAGCCCACCCCCTCCCCCCAGCAGGGGTTGGTTCCTGTGGAGGTTCCCCCTGGTCTCTCTCTCTCTCTCCTGTTCTTGGATCCTTAGCAGAGGGTCTCTGTCTCAACGTTGCCTGTCCTTCCCAGGGCTTGTTCGGAGCTGCCCAGCCCACGCAGACCGGAAGCCTTTTCGGCACAGCGGCCAACACCAACACAGCAGCTGCCTTTGGAACAGGAACCGGACTCTTCGGGCAGCCCAACACCGGGTTTGGTGTTGGTGGCTCGGTACGTGGGTTGACCTTTCAGTTTTCTGGAAGCTGCGGTTCTCGGGCAAAAAACTTAGCTTTGCGTATTTATTTTCCTACCAGGGTCACCTGTGAAAGTGATCCAGGTTACCCAAAGACCCTCCCGTCAGCTTTTATGGCAGGAGGTGTCCTTGTCTGCAGTTCCCTTGTGAGTCTTAGGAAGCAGCGGTAAATAAATGAGGACTAGATTCCCAGCTAGGACCAGGCTGTCCATCCCCTGCATTGTTTGCCCCCTGTGTGCAAAGGGCACCTTCTCTTGGGACCTGTGCCGACTAGGCTGGCCCAAAACTAGATCTCGCCTCTTCCTTCCTCCAGGGAGTTTTTGGGCAGAAGGAAAGGGCAGCCGGTGTCTGGAGCAATTTTTTTGCCTTCTTTCCTGATCGCGTGTTGTGCCTGCAAATTGCAGAAAATGCATGCTTTTCCTGGGAGCTTGCTTTTGTAAAAACTACACAATGCTCTTCTTTTTGTTTTTTCCAGTCTCTCTTTAGTAACAAGCCTGCTGGCTTCGGCACCACGACCACCAGCGCACCCTCGTTTGGGACGACGACAACTGGACTTTTCGGTAAGCAACCAAGCAGTGTTCTCTGGAGGTTGTTCTCAGCCTGCTGTGTGTTTCGCCCGCTGGAAGACAGAAGCAGAATTGGAGGGAAGCAGGGACGGGCGAGTAGGACAACATTTAAGACGCATGGACCAACTCCCAAAATTCCGGAGCCAGCATGGAAGTGGAAGTCCACACACTCTTAAAAGTTGTCATACTTGCCCACCCTTGGACTGAAAAGTCCCCGGTCACCAAGGAGCAACTGATGTGGGATTTTAGGCAGGTTGGAGACCCCTTCACTCAATGACCACAATCAATTTAATGACCAAAATTGGGACCAGAATTTTGGCAACTGAATGAAGTGGTTGTTACATGAGATGCCCTACACCAGAGGTCTCCAACTTTGGCAACTTTAAGCCTGGAGGACTTCAACTCCCAGAATTCCCCAGCCTTTGCAACTGTGTGTCGAGACTCTGATCGCTCACCTCCTTTTCCCAACCTGGGGGGGTGTGAGCTTGCTTTAATCCCCCCACCACTCGTAGGAGGCTGAGACTTTTGGCAGGCAAATATATCCCTGCACAAGGCACCCCTCGACTTGGCAAGGGTTGGTTTAGTGACCGAAGTTACTACGGCAGAAGAGAAATAAGTGGCTTATGTTCGTTTTTCTCGCTTAACGCCCCTTGTTAGCACCTCAGTGGTCACGTGATCAAAATTCAGGCGCTTGGCAACTGGCTCATATTTATGATCCCGGGATCACGTGACCCCCTTTTGTGGCCCTGTGAACAACTGTGTAACCAGCTAAACAACTGCAAGGATTCTCTTAATGACTATGGCAAGAAAGGTCATAAAATGGGACAAGCCTCAACATATGTCAGGCTTAGCAACAGAGGTTTTGGGCTAAATTGTGGCCGTAAGTCGAGGACTACCTGTACCGGAGGGCCCTGTGCTGGGAAGGGTGAGCAGACTGTTGGGCCACTTGCAGCTCTCTTCATTTGTATGTCTGAGTCGAGTTTCCTGAGAGTCAGCAAAAAGGGTGGAGCCTGGGCTGCCCATCAGCCTTCAGATGGAGAGTCAACAGTTCTCGGTCTGGAGGGGGCTGATGAGGAAGAGGAGGAACAGCTGTGTCCAGTGCCTGACCCGCAAATGTGCAGAAGGCGGAGAGGAGAGCAATGGAAATCTATGGGCCGGTCCTTGGGATGGAAGAGATACTGCTGCTAGCGAAGCCCACCCGAGCTCTGGGGATAAAAGGCAGGGGGCAGAGATGAATAGATGTGACAGAGGAGAGGAGAGCAGTGGAAATCTATGGGCCGGTCCTTGGGATGGAAGAGCCACCGCTGCTAGCGAAGCCCATCCTAGCTCTGGGGATAAAAGGCCCGGGGGCAGAGATGAATAGACTAGGAAAGACTAGGGCAGACTAGAACCTAATTCGATTGGATTCCGGTTTAAATATTATTTTTTGAATTTAAAGAGGCAAACATAACTTGAAGGTCATCTTAGACTTACCACCATAATTGAACTCAGAATGATGTTCAGGAGTCACTGGAATCCTTAAGGGTGACATTATGAGGCCGCAGCCCAATTTTATGACAGCTTTTATGGCACTCATTCAGCGATTGCCACGGTCATTAAGCAAATCCAGTTTGCACAGAGGATGGGCTTTGCTGGAAACAGGAAGTAAACATTAGAAACCGAGGGGGGGGTATTCAGAATCCTGGGGGTTGCGTGACTGCCAGATGCTATAAACAGCCATCAAGGGGAAATCAGTTGCCAAATGCAATCATATGACCAGGGTGTGTCTATGCCTGTTTGTCTGTGTGGGTGTACGTGGCTGTTATAACTTGGAAGTCGGGTGGTGAGCAGCTTGCAACCTTTAATGGTGGACAAGTGACCGGTTGTGGGTCAAGGGCTTCCTGTGGGGGTAATGCCACTTACAACAGTTCTTTTAGTGACTGTTTGAAGTTACAACAGCATTGAAAAGGGGACTGAGGACCCTGTTTCACATGTGTGGCCCTGGCAGCATCCCCAGGGTCATCTGACCAAAATTCAGAGGCATGGCAACTGACTCACATTTATGACGGTCGCCGTGTCCCGAGGTCACGGGATCCCCTTTTGCCGCCACCTGACAAGCAAAGTCCACGGAGGAGCCACTTAACGTCCGTGTTACTGAATTTGCAACTCCAGTGATTCACTTAACAAATGTGGCAAGAAAAGCCGCAAAACTCACTTAACAGCTGTCTCATTTTGCAACAAATGTTGGGCTCCATTGTGGTTGTAAGTCAAGGACTGCCCGTAATGTTCTTGTCCTAGATTGAGTAGTTTCCCCTTTCCCCCTGCTGAACGTTGCCCCGGAGGCCAGCCTTGTCCCTGGGGGCCAGAGGTAGCCCTGTGCAGAAGGCTCGGCCGAAGGCTGCCTGGTTTTCCACCGCCCAGGAGGCCCAGAACGTCAGCAGAAGTTCTGGTTGAAGCTCCGAGAAAGCCACCAACCCTCCTTCTCTCCTAGGGTTCAATGCAAACGCCACAGGAAACAGCCTCTTTGGAAACAAGCCTGCAACCGGGGCTCTGGGTCCAGGCCTCGGGGCGGGATTTGGGACAGGTAAGAAGATCGGGGTCTTTCACCATCATTCCTTCTAGAAAGCTCGGCCAGGGATCGAGAGATTCACAAAGCCCAGTTGGCATGGAATATCAGGAGCCTCAACCATCGCAGTTCTTTCTCTCCAGGGTCATCTGTCATTACCACTAATTATTATACATTTGTCCCTTTTCAAGAGGCCACTGGATTTTCTTTGTTTTTCCTTGGAGGAGTTTTGCTTCTCATCCAAGAAGGTTCTCCAGTTCTGGCTGAATGATGGGGAAGGATTTACAGGCCTTGCTTTGAGCTGGTCGTCCGTGTTCTCTCTGAGAGCCACTGAGGCCACTTGGAGGGTTATCTGTGCCCTGGGGGATCACCTGGATAGCAATAGCAGTGGACTTATATACCGCTTCATAGGCCTTTCAGGCCTCTCTAAGCGGTTTACAGAGAGTCAGCATATTGCCCCCAACAA